AATTGAGGTGAATCGGAACAAGCCGAGCGTTGACACGTCGCATACACAAATTGTCCACCAAAATCAAACGAGCCATCTCACGACCGATGCCTAGCTCTCGTGCTATCTCTCTAACACTCACATGAGGATTTTGGAACACGATTTCCTTTGCCTTTTCAATGTTTTCGTCGGGGGTAGAGGTCGAAGGTCGTCCAGAACGCGGCATGTCTTCGACGGTCGTACGACAGTCCTGAAAGGCTTTGTACCACTCATAAACTTGAGTTTTCGATAAAACTGATTCCCCATAAGCCTTTTGTAGCATTCGCAAAGATTCTGCACACGAAATTTCGTTCGAAAAACAAAATTTGATGCAAACTCTTTGTTCAATATTTTTTTCCATTGTTTTTTTCGCAACGCACTACTGAGGTGAACTGGTTTAAACAGCTGCCGTAAACGAACTGTCTGACATATCGCGCTCATTTTTGGCATAGTAATTAAGGACAGTGCTGCCAAACTACATAAACTTAAAATATCGAAAAATATACAGCGCGCGAATTTTAAATGAGAATTTCCGAAAGCTTTTCGGTCACAATGTATATGGGAATAGTTTTGATCTGCAATTTTAAATTACTATAATTTAATCAGCAAGTTTTGATCAGCAAATTATGTTACGAGAATTAAATTACTGTATTCAGATAGTGAAATAAACCTGATTAATCCAATGATGTATTAATGAAAAAAATTGTCTCAATTTTACCTTCACCCTCAATAGAAGAACTTTTCCGATAATTATTCTAAATACCATATCAATAACTTAGTGGATTATGTTACCTAATAGGCTTTCAATTTAGATGGCCTCTAAGTATTTGGTAACGTTAGTTAATCAAACCTAGAAACTCTCAGAAACAACTCAATCAAGAATACGGTACTAATCACATAAGCATCCTGGTATGTCAGAACTAAAAACATTCATACAGATTGAGAACGGTAACATCAAAATTCAAAAAAATTAAAACAAATTACGTTGGATAATTATATGTTATTGTATTGAAGTTGTAGACATTTAATCCAAGAAACTTGATATCAACGCAGCAGCTATTTGAATTTAATTTAAAAACATTTTATTTTGTATTACTTAATTTGAAGTTAGGCCTAAACTGCTTAAGACAGGCCGTGATATCAGCATTACATCTTATATTTTATTTGTAGTAGATTTTACAAAGTACGCATTACACATTATAATACAACGTCAACAACGCATTCCTTGTTTCGGAAAGTGCTAATAATATACATAGCATATACTGAATTTATTAACAATAAATAGATGATGAAGATAAAGATCGAAAGAGCATAGATTTAGATAATATTTCAAAACTCCAATTAATCAAGAAAATAATCAAGGATAAGAAACGATCTACCATATAAGCACTGCAGCAAATACCTACCTATGTTATTATGAAAGTCGGGCAAAAATATAGAAACTTTTAACGTACTTAGACTCATAGATTACTCTGGCCTCTAAATAACAACTTAATATTTAATCAATTAAAATTGAAAAATATTAAATCTCATAAGAAACAATTCATACTTTAAAAAAAGAACTTATAAAGCAATCACTGTTGTATTCTAAATCTATACAAATTTAAAAATTTTAGTAGTTATTGTTGGGTCCAGAAGAAGATTTACCAACTCAATAAATAAGTTTAAAAAAAATTCCTTTAATATTAAAACTTTCGGATATGTTTTCTGAATAGATAATGAACGTTTGTAATACAAGTACATATATATAAAAATAATACCTATGAAGTGAATTACTTCTCAACTCTTTCCCTTATTTCGAAAAATTGAATTTCAAGTTTTAATTTTAATGTTTCATTTGAAAAAAAAATATTTTTGGTTATAATACCGTTAATGTAGTATTTCAGAACCTTACAGTTACTTATAAAAGTATCTCCTCATGTATCTATTTTTCACGTCATTAAGTCTTAGAGAAATGAGTTCGAAGGGAGTACCTTCGATTTTAATTATATTGTAAACAATAATATATGCATTTATAAGAAAAAATTTAACTAACAAAATATTATTCAACTTAATTTGTGTTTTACTATTTAAACAAAAAAAGTTATTTTGTATTAGGAATACTGTCTACATAAAAGTAGACAGTATAATGAAATATTCTCTTAATATGAAGGAAAAAATTTTAGGTGGGAAATAATTTATCTTAAAAATTTAGAAAGAGCTTTGTTTAAATCTAGAATTACTTCTGCAAATGAAGTATACGATATAAATGGATACAGATTTCAGCTCTAAAAAACGGCGCTCTAGACGAAGGTGGTCCTACTATTTGAACGGTTACGTGCTAAATGATATTTGGAACAAGTATTTGTTATAATCGGAACTCTCGTGTTAACATCTAACGACAACATACCATGGATTACATGTCACAACATAAGTTTATAAGCGGCAGTATTATTGTTATGTTGGTTTTTTATTTGAATTATTTAAAATAATTGGCAAATGATTTTTTATATACAATATTAACCTTCAAAGTGTGTGCGTAATGCTTTTTACTCATTCACGTTTTAATGCATTTCAACCTGTGTGCCAGAACATATGTAAGTTTATTTAAATTATTAATAATTAAAAATTTAAATTATCGCTTATTACAAAACCGCAAATGGGTAAACACGTAAGAAAATGTGATATTAATTTTCATATTTATAAGTATAAACATCGATATTAATTTAATTACGTTTATTATTTGATTAATGTGTTCCGTTTTTATATGGGAATCCAAATAAATAATCAATAATATTTAATTTATATATTTGCTTATATATTTTTAAAACATAACAATATTTCCCACCTTGTGATTTTGACATATTAAATGTTTCAAGTGATGTATTGATCTGCTGCTGAGCAGGTTGATAATGAGCGCCTATATCAATTGATCCAGTACT